AAGAGCGGTGTAATTCGGCGGTCGTTTGTCATTATCATCCTCGTTATCGTTGTCGGTCTCGCCCCGAGAGTCGGCAGTCTATTCATTAAGTTCGCGATAATACCGGGGGGGCGCGTTGATATTGCCGTGCACGAAACGTTTCACTGTAAACCCGGGGGTTACAATGAGCCCTCGTTCCCGTCCCCTTCCCTCCCCCCTTCCGTCTCTTCTCCGTACAGTATGCTAAACAACCGCGCGCCGTCGTTTCGCGTCTGCCCCCCTCCTGCCGCCTCCACCCTCGCTGAGCAAGCACTGGCAATTAGGCTATGGCTCGGCGCAATTAGAATTAGAGTAACCGTCTCACCCAGGATTAATCCCGCTGCTCAACTCTTAACCGAAACTTTAGTAGATTGGTAGAACGTATATACATACGTCTCGATCGAGAGGGTTGCAAATACCCGACAGTTCGCGAGGGAGGAGGGATGATTTATCCGCACCAAAACGGGATTTTACCCCGGCATGTTAGTGGGATCGACGAGCCGGAATCTCTCGAAGCTTCCTTTTAATGTCTATACTTGAGTAATAAATCCTTTCGCGAGTTTTTTAATCCATTAACATCCACATGCTAAGATTAGTCGAGTTCGTCGGGAATGCGACGCGAATCTTTATTAGAGGTTTAAATATCAATGGAACATTTGTTGCGTTTAACGTAATTCTAACAGAATGTCGGCAAAAAGAGATCCATCAAGATCCGCCAATCTAGACAAGACCGAAGACAGAGACAATGCGCTTAATTTTCTTTCCGTAGATCCTCCGGACTCGCGTACCATTTTGTCAACGATAATCTTCGGTCGTCCGCATGTGACGTATGAAATACGATCCCTCGGGTAATCAAAATTAATAACGGTCGTTTTTATTCCCGCGGATTACTCGACGAGGACGTCTTAAGACGACGGAGCCGCGCTCTCTAAGCCGTGCAATTCCATGGCCGGCTGGCTGGCTGACTGACTGGTTGGTTGGATGCTGAATGCTGAGGATGGTCGTCCACGAAACCGCATCGCGGGGGCGACGCGCGGAATAAAGTATCGCAAGTACGCGGGCATCGTTCGCCAGAATAATGCCGTGCAATTTTTTTTACGTGGCTGAGCGTGCGTCAAACGGCGACAGCCCCATATATTTCTCCGCGGCGTATGCGTTTCGCGAAATAAAACCGCGAGCTCGCGGCGGCGATTCTCGCGTCATCCCTTCGTGTTTCGCGACGCGAGAACGTTGGTTAGTTTCTGATGCTTTTCGCGCCGGGATTTATTCGATTTTGTGGAACGTCATCGCTGCAACGCGCTGCAATTATATCGAAAATCCGATTTAATCGGAGATTACATTAAAATACCCGCTCTCCCGCTCTCACATAATTGTTCACTGTTTTGCGGAGCGAATTCAAGTGCTCCTCTAACAGCTTTCTATAATTGCTTTCACCCCGGTTCTCCCTAAAGAGCAAGTTGCTCCCTGATAAAACATCTGCATTCCAACAATCGTCCTCCGCGACGATATCGTTCGACGGACGTAACGTCATATGGTATAAAGATTGACTTAACTAATGACTTTTTCCAAAGTATTATTCCTAGCACGTTCAAGAAATAATTCGGCAAACGAGGCGAAAGGAAATCATTTATCGACTCCGAGCACGTTTTTGTCGCGTGAACAAGCATAGAACTTTCACGGTGGCATTGATCGAGGAAGCTTCTCTTAATCCACTCGCGAACGCGCATTGTGCGTCGTTTCTTATACCTAAATTATCGTCGTAGCGAGAGTTGGAGAGCGTTTCTCTGCCGCAACCATCCAGCCGTGAAATTCTTTCGTCGCGCGTGTTTCGCCACGGCCAGTGTGTTATCCGGATTTCCCGGATAATCTTATTACGGTCACGCTCGCGTGCGCGGTCGAGCTTTACGAGAGCTTCACGTTTTCATGCGAGCGCGTGACGCGAGTAGCCGTCGAACAAGGAACGTCGATTACGTTGGGGGAGGGGATGTATACTAGATGAATATCATCTTGCCTTAAATTCCCAGCTTTATGATTCTTCTCGCGCGATTCCGATCGCTCCTAAACGAGAATCGTTCTTCGCTTCGAAAAATGGAAACATTTTCTCAATGTCAAGATAAGAAAGGCGGCTCTTCCTCGATATAATAAGTTCGCTTCTATTTTCCTTCGTATTGGAAGACAACGAACTCTTACTCGACAAGTTGCCGAAGCAAAAATCTCACCCTAAGTCACCCTTCGCGCGCTCGTTCAATAGAATTACCATTTTTCCATCGACGGACTTTTTATCGAAAAGAAGAATAAATCTGATCAGTAGAGAAAAACGAAATAGAGTCAGACGCGAAATGCAATGCAACGATGAAATAATTGATTTTCCCGATGGATGACGAAATATCGCGTAATCGTGGGAGTAGCAGTAATCTCGATTTTTCTGTCGCATATTAAAAGTAATGTGACACTTTTACGTTATTATTAATTTATGTGATCTTGTCCGTCCGTGCAGTTATAATACTATAATGTATATAGAGTGAGAGAGATAGAAAAAGGTCGTTAGTTTTCTCTCCTCGTCTGTCTTCCTTACTCACGTTCTTAGCATTAGCTCCACTTTACGATATAATTCTCTTCTGCTTCGACGATGATAAACCTCGGCTGGCTTTCTGTATGGCACGGTATTTCTATGGGGTAGTTCCCACGCCAGCCCGGCGGTGACACCGATGACGAAGATTCCTTGGGGCTTCGAATACGTGCCCATGGTTAGGCAGTAGACGAGCTACGTAATACAGTGAACAAATAAAAGAGAAACGAGAAGGTAAATACGGAGATTAATTTTTATTAAATCGAGTGGAGAATAAAGTAATAATACATTAAAATAAAAAATTTAATCTAAAAAAGTGAGAGAAAAAAATAGATTACTAGTGCTGATTAAATAAAACTTACTTTCTAAGTAATTAATTTATTATCCTGTATAATTTAGTGTATATTGAACGCGGCGTATATTTAAATTAATTATTTACTTGTTATATACGCGTTACTCAGATTAATATTTCTGCCTTTTACGTAGTTTGCTATTACTTGCGGAGGTTGCTGCGCTTATTAGAGTCTTTTAAAACGTTATGCATAAAGCAAGTTACGTTTTATTTAGCATATGAAACTTTCCTAGCTAAACTATATCGAAAATTTATGTTGCGCCATGGTATACAACTTTGCACAAGGCGAAACCCTTTACACGGGCTCGCGTATCGACCTGTCTGGCGCGTTCCGTCAAAACAAAAACACAAGAAGATTATGATTTCATTTTAATAACGGACTCTCCGAATTCAAAGCGAGTGTAACAGGTGCTTTTACGCTTGCCTAACATCTCCCAAGTTTATGCATCGCAAATTCGCGGACTTGACGCGAGAAGAGGCGACCGTAATTGCCATTTTAGCGAGAATGCGCTTCTCTCCTTGTAATATATGTATGTAAAATGAAAGTTTATCTTACTTGAACGTTGCTGCCTTGAGGGAATATTAGATAATTAATGCCAGCTTCTCTCTCGGACCTCACAAGCGAGTCGTTTGGGAATGTCGTCGAGTTTGTCGGTTCTCCGAAACGAAACACGAGAATACCGAGCAAAACGAGATGTCGGAAACGATTGATCAGCATTGCGGTGCACAAATTTCATGTTCCATCGAACGGAGTTTAAGTCCTAATCCTAACTGATAGAATATGCTTGAATTGCGTGAGCGCTCTGAGCAGTGAATACTCGAGAGTAAACGCTAACAACATTCGCGTGTGTCGAAAAGCAACGGTACTCCGGAGCGGTTATCTTAACGATGAGTTAAGCAAAAAATAATTGGCTTTTTGTTCTTGTTTCATCTCTCGAAGAAAATATAAAAGAGGTTTATAAAAATTTATGCAATTTGTATAAAAAACCGTTAATTATCCGTCAATTATCATTGCATTTTTTTTCAATATATATAATAAAAAATTATATATTATTAATACTTATAATATAATATCACAATTTGCCTAAATATTGTTATTTGCACAATATAATAATATGATAATATAATTAGTAAGATCAAGCATTGCAAAAACAATTATTAAAATAGCATTTTAATTGTTTATCAATTACATTAAAATAAAGCATGAGCCGATTAAACATTAATCTGATTCAAATTAGTATCAAAACGTACGGATGCTTTCTATAAATACAATAATTTATTACTTTAGGTTTAGAAAGTCGTTAACTCGTCAGAATAACCTCGTACAATTTATTCGCACAACAATTATTTCATATTTCCGTAGATACATACATGTATTACGGATTACAAAATTATATCAGCGATCCTCCTGCGTTTTTAAGTTTTGCGGTAAACGATCCTGCAATAATTTGATTATCATTGGGATAAATTTCCGGCTAAAATAACTAGGACACGACTAAACCAAGCGCACCGTACATATTATCGAATCAGACTCGTGCCAGTAATCTAATTTAAGCCGAATATTACATGCATCGCAAAATTATATTTAGTACGACGCAACAAAAGCGGAATACGCGCGTGAATGTTATAATAATAATGTCGAAATACCGAGTAGAAAAACGAAATTTTACATCGAAGTGGAAAATATCCAGCTTGCAATTTTTATGACGATAACAATAATTTTTTACGCGCTGCTTTCAAACGAACGTCGAATAATTATCCCAGAATTTTTCAGCTGATTAAAGTATGTATTACGGGTAATATTTTGTTATTAATAAATGAGCGTGCAATTACTATATGCAATAAAAAAATTATTAAATAAATATAGTATTATTTATGTTTGCGACTGACTCTTTTGTCGCGAACGACGGATGAATACTGACATATTTAAACGCGAGGACGTTTGCCGAACAGGAGATTGAATATCGATTAGACGTTTGTTACAACAACGCGGAGATGTATTTGGCATATTTTATTGAAAAAGAAAAAAGAAAAAAAGGAAAACTAACCGCGAGATTCGGAGCGTTCCATCGGAGCACTCTACAGAAATGAACCATAAATCGACGAGAGCCGAGCGACCGTTTTATTAATGCAAAACGTCGTGAAATTATTCGAAACCGCGCCAAAATGAATTACACGTTGCGGAAGTAATGTAATGACCGATATAGAATATTCATAACGCGAGAGTCTCGTGCGAAACTTTCTGAATTTAACCCTGGAATAGTCGTTGACGTTAAATAATCGTTTGTCATCGTGGCCCATCAACATACATGCATGCACACACAATCAAACATAAAAAATGAGGCAGTGCTATATTATCATTAAAAGTTATGTAAATCGCGAAATATTTGCTTATTCGATTGATCAAGCAAATACAATATTTGCGATAAAATATTATCAGAAATTAAGAAAAGCGCGCGAACGGATTGCCATTTATTAAATATTAGCTTTATACGCACATATATTATATGCTACATATTAATACATAGCGACTAATGTAGGACGGCTTGTGGCAAGATAACGATATTAACATATACTTAATTAGTATGTTAAATTAAAATATAATATATGAATATTTAACATTACGTAATTAGATTTTACTCGATTAATGGGTTGCGTAAGCTCATCTCTATTTTATTGCAAATATATTTTCTCTCTTGAAAATGACGCTTCGAATGAAAAAAACAAACGGTAAAACCGCTC